ACGCGGGCTTCTCCTGGCTCCGGGCTGCCTGCCGCGGTGTTGGGGTTTCGGGGGTCCGTTGGTGAGGGGACCCCGGGGCGTTTACAATGCAGTGGGTTTTACTGAGAAGAAGCTAAAGCGGGGGAAGACACTGGTAGCAGTCTGACAGGAGCCAGCGTCAAATTCCTGTTTTATTAATATAGGTACCCATATGTCGTGTCAGGTCTTAACATAAGAAACGGTAATGCGGGCTTTACCTAAAGCCAAGCATGTCGCTTGCATGTGAGGCTCCCTAACACTCTTGGCTCCGTTTTTGCGGTAAGGATGACAGTACATTTTTGTTTCTTAATGACTGAGGAGATGGCTGATAAGGGGCTTTGGTGCTGGGTGTTGAGACAAAGCATACGCTTTCCTCAAGACATAAAAATTGTTGCTGATCTCTGTAGTTTTACACGTCTGTCTGCCGCATGCCTGTTTTTCCTTCGTCTCTCTCTTTAGTTGCACATATTGATTGTATTTTAATCTTAAATTGGATTAGCTGTTTATGATCCGAATGCTGTTGTAGTTAATGATGGTAATACATAAACTGCTCATGCTTTTTTCTTCCCCCTTTTTTTTTTTTGTCTAGGATGACAAATGATTTTTTCTTCCACTGGATAGTACTGTGGTCTGTTTCTAGTTACTAAATACTTTTAGGATAATTCTTTCAACTCTTTCTTTTAGGTACATCTCAGTTCCAAAGTACTCATTAAGGAGAAGGTCTACATTTTGGTGTCTTGGTATCTCTTTTCAAACACTTTAATTTATGGTCCCTGAAATAAACAATTTAATTAAACGCTGATTTTATGGGGGTTTTGTTTGGGTGGGTGGTTTTCTTAATTTCTTTGTGGGTTTAATTCAGTTTGTTCCTCAGTATCTTGGTAAAATCCTACAGATTTCTTGCATGCTTTTGTCCTCTTTCCTCTTCAGCCTCCTTCCACCCTCCAGCCCCAATAATGCATTATAATTGTCTGACCCAAAAATATTTGCATTATCAGTTCTTCACAGATTGTTTTAGGCTCGGATCTGCTTTTCCATGAGATAATACATTAAAGGTTTGAGCTTGTGTCTTAAATGGTAATTGTACTTTATGGAGTTTTTCATATAAATTAACATCGAATCTCAAATAATGTTTTTTTAGGAGACTACAGAATAGTAACCGACTACTGCAATCTTTTGACTTCTTGCATAAAGTGCATAATTCTACTATTTTTATGCATTAAATTCCTGTATGTATTCATGTACCCGATAACTTCTTGCAAAATTAGGGCAAAAATTTTGGAGAGCAATATTTCTGAATGATAATTTTAGCCATTGGATTTTTGTTTTGCTCTTACACCATGAGTTGAAAGGCCTCTTAGTGTCAGCTGTTTCCCCAAATGCATATTTACAGCTTTGATCATCTTGTGTCAGTAACTTATAATGTTAACTGTGCGTTTGTTAAAATTATTTTTATAATTTCCTTAAATGAAATTAAGTATATCAGCAAAATTGCATTTTGTGGGTATAGGGGGAGAATATGCATAATGCTTTATCTGATATAAGAATGTCATGAGAAATCGTAACTCTAAGCAGTGTTACTCTATCCGCTGTTGTGTGCATGTGTTTTATGTAAACCCAACCTAAATCTTTCCTTCAATATGTTAACTATACTGACCACCCGTAGGTTTCTAAGCATTCTTCTGTAATACATCTGTTTCCCACTGTTCTGTTTTAACAAGAATGTAAGTTCCACAACTATGCTTTCTGAGATTTAGAGGATAGAAAAACCTATGACACTTTATTGTGATATTTTGTAAACAGTCTGAAAATCATTATTTTTCAGACAAAACAAATAGTTTCTAGTTTTATATTAAAAATTGTAATTTCAGAGATTATTTTGGTTGAACAGAGTTTTGCTTTTTCTAGTCTGATTTCAGTCTTGATCTGCAGAATGTTTATACTTATGCCATTGTACCTGGGAATGTGACTTGATTTTTACATAGACAGCAGTCATTTTTGTCTATAAAAGATGGCAGAGACAAACTGTTCAAAAAGAGCTGTTATGCCACAGACATGGCTCTTGACTAAGGGTAATCTGAAGCCATATTTTTGCTTCCTGTTCTTCATTCTGGCACAAAGACACCCATTCACATGCTGTCCTTGTTTTCCAGTTGGCATTGTTACCTTTATTTCACTCATGATACATAATTCTCAAATCATACTCATTTTGGAATTTTTTTTAAGCCTGTAGTGATATTTTTCCTCTGTACTTTATGCACATGTTAATAATACCCATAGCAAAGCAGTGTAAGCCTACCACAGAACTGACACAAACCTCTTGTTGCTATTTGAATTTATAGGTCTCTGTTTATCTATTCCAAGGTCACTAATTGATGGAATGAAATTAAAAAGAGATCCCTGAATGTGACTCATAAATGTTCATTAGGTGGGAATCTCTCAGGCACACAGTTCTTTCAGGCACACATCTGTTAAAATAGATCTCTATATACTCTGAAATGCAATTACTTAAAACAGAAGCTTAAAACTGTAAGTGCCCTTTTCTGACTTTACAACATTGGGTTTTATTATCTTTTAATTATGTCTTGTTCCATCTTTATTGGTGCCCTTCTCTTGTTTTATGGTCTTTTTTTCCTGCTTTCTTTAACAGAGCTTCTAAGCCCTAGCTGAAGTTGCTTTTAGCTCCGTTCAGGAATTCATTGAAAAGATGTTGCTTCTTTCTGTATTTTTTACTATTGTTCAGTTTTCATACATGTTTTGTAAAGAGTTTGAAGAGCTTTGTATAGTATCGGTGCTTACTGCTGCCTGGTTCGATTTATTTAGGATGGAACAAATGGTGTTTGGTCTTTCCTGCATTGGACTGGGCAGACTGCATTCAGAAAGCACAGAGGCTCAACACTGAGGCATAGACCACGTTTCCTACTGGAATAAGGCAACTGCAATGGAAAAAAATATGTCCTCCTAGTCCTGGGGTAAGTTTGATTCTGAATACTGGTGTGCTTTTTAAAGGTACATTGCTACATCAGCTCTTCCCAGATTGGATTCTTACACAGATTTTGTGGTAATTTTAAATAAAATCCAATCTGACATGATGGTTATATAGAAGAAACATTTGTGAGGAAATCACAGTTTGTTCCTTAAAATGCAATTTATTCAGAAATGTATTGTATATTATAAAGTCACCTACCAGAAAATGGCAGTTCCGGAGTTTCAGGAGATACTTTGTGTCTACATGTTCATTCAGAAGAGGCACAGTTGTGGTTAACAGACTCCAAACTTGACCCACTTTTTTTCATCTGTGTGCAAAGTCCATGTATTATTCATACTTTCTTCTCTTTTTTTTTTAACCTTTTCCAAATAAATGCTTCAGTGGGCTTTTTTTCTGTATAGGTCAATGCCAGTAGTCATGTCTTGTGGATAATTCTACAATAAACAGGCATGTAAATAAGCTAGAAGAAACATTTTATATTTTCTGGGGCTTATAATCAATAGTGTGTTTAAAATAATAAACTATTATGTGTCAACATTATTAGAAGTATTTGTTTTTAAAGGAAGTCTAATATACTCATAAAAAGCCCATTTAGAATAAAAATTTACCTGATAGAACTGTAAGAAGAAGGATTATTAAGATTTAATGTATTACACAGAAATAGCAACCTCTTGGGAACGATCCATTTTTAGATAGACCACAGTTTCAAAGCCTACACCCTATCTCCATGGCTCCCCAAAAAGACAGAAGAGCATAACAGTTGGGACAGTTAGAATTGATACTGTCCTTCGAAGACCACTTTTCAGTGCGTTTAATGACACAAAGCTAGGGAGTACATCATTTATATGAGGATTTTTGTTTCAAAAGTGTTCTTTTCAATGTTATGATGGAAATGAGTACCTCTTTATAACCTGGGTGTCCTATAATTGCTTCTTGGGAGTGGGGTGGGGGTGTCTTTAAGATCTTGAATTATTTTTGGATTTTTTTTTTTTTGAGGTGTCAAGCAGTTATTTAAGGACAATAATTATTCTCAAGAAATCACCTTGTACAAGAGGGTTGCATAACAATTACAGAACATAAATAGTTTTTAAGGACTTTTAAGTGAGTATTAATACTAATAACAGTTCCTTTATTTTCAAATTACAACGGTCAACTTTTGAAAAGTAAAATGACTGGGATTAGTTAATTTTCTTTTTTTCTGCAAAAAGAGCTGTTCTGAAGGTAATGTGGCAGGCAACAGACAAGTCCTAAAAGTAGCAGTAGAGTTTCCTGCTGGAGCACATACTGAGGAAAAGCATATGTAGTTTTGCTCTGTAAGGAGTTAGTTTTGGTTACTTCTGGTTGACTGAATGGTGGTTGTCTTTGTGTTTATGATAAATAGTGAAGATATTTTAGTGGTTCTGGTTTTCTTAATGCTTATTCTATGTGCCAGTCCCCAAGCTAAACAAGGAGTTGCTCAGAGAGGGGTACCAGGGTGATAATACATATATTTACAAAGTATGTAAATGAAAGTAGTGTTTTGGATTATAGATTAGAAACTCAGTTTTAACAGTTGTTGCATAGAGAGATTTGGGATTTTTGAGCGTCAGTCCTGAGAATCCTCCAAATTGAATCTCTTTTTGTTGTTACAGTATAAAGGATTTAATTTGATGAATATCATGTATGTAAGACCAGGAGGAATCTTGAAACATATTCAATATATTACCATAGACATGTCTCAAATTATTCTGTAAAACTTAAGATTTCAGAAAGTGGAGTTAGAGCTTTGCATGTTACAAAGGTGCTTGTTCTAATTAAAACAGGACAAGTGTTTTTGTTCAGAGCTGTAATGTTCAAGTCAACAAATTAACTGAAATCAAAGATTCCCTAGGAATATTAAATGCAAGCGTTGAAATTGGTTTTTTTATGCTGAGTTGTAGCTGTGATAACAAATGCTTTGTGCTAATGGATTTTTTTCTTTAATAGTTTTCTTTTTGTTCTCTGACATTTACAGAACAACTGACGATACAAAGGACAATGCACAGTGTATATCCTGATGACATTTTGTGTGCTGTGACATGGTTTTTGCTATGGCATCTGAGACTGAAAAGGCCCATGCTCTTCTCCAAACTTTCAGCGCAGCTTCAGTTATTTCTAGTCTAGGTTTGGGGATATTCTGCTTTGTAGCAGACAGACTTCTGCAGTTTTCCTTCATTCAGCAAAATGACTGGCTCCGAGCCTTCTCTGATAATGCAGTGCATAGTATACTAGGAATGTGGTCCTGGGCAATAGTGATTGGACTCAGGAAGAAAAGTGACTTCACTGAGGTCACTCTGGCTGGCTTCCTCGCCTCTGTCATTGATGTGGACCACTTCTTTCTTGCTGGCTCCCTGTCATTAAAGGTAAGTCAACAGATCAGTGACTGTTTGTTTTCGTTCTTCATCACTGTTTACTTTTTTGTTCTTCTACCATGCCCAAAACAAAAAAGTTCCAATGATACTTTAATTAGATACATTTTTAATAGGTATATGGGAATTATGTTTGTATGCAGTTGTTACAATTTTAAAAGTCCTAAAAATATTTCACACCTGCTGTTAAGTTCTGCTCCCTACAAGGTGCTGAAAAAGGTGTTCTGAAAGCCCATGTACATGATATCCTATGTGTATCGCATAGTTGCTTTGTTATCCAAGTTAAACAGTTAAGTGCAGCCATGCGCACTTTGTGTATAAAGTGGATTATTCCATTTCTGTTTACAATAAGGGGTAGAAATATCTGGAAAGTAGATAATCCAGCTGCTGTTTGATTTCATTCAGTCTTACTGAGAAGTAGTACATTTGGTTTTAGCCAGCCCTAAATTTTTCTCCCACAAACAAGCTATATATGAGCTGTCACCTTTAAAAAGGCAGTCTGAGTTTGCCCTTAAATATAGTTGGTTGTAAAAAAAAAAAAAAAAAAAATTAAAGCAAGTGTCAAACTTGTTAATACAAGTAAAAAGGTGAATTGGCACCTGTTAAGGAATATATGTGATCAAATCATCCATTTGCAGAACTGCTTGTTAGGACAGAGTTTCTCACTAGGATTGGTACTACCAGATTATGGCATTCCTTTTCAGTGGTCCTCCAGTGTTTTAAGTGTGTCCTGTTCCTGCTTCCCCATTCACACACGTACATATAACCCTGTCTTCTTGCCTGCTCTGAACATATATACCTACCTTTCCCTGACCACAGAAGTCTCTTCTGTACACTCTGCAAAACATTGCACTGCTCTGGCAGTGCCAGCCCTAGCTCTCTTAACACTGCCCTCCAGATCTCGTACCTCAGGCAGACACTCTTTGCCCCCAGCTAGCTCCTGGTCCCCATAGCTAGAGCCCTGCCACTCTGCTTGTTATCAGGAATTTGCTCTGCTCAGCAACACAAGTCCTCACAGTTTGATTATGCTGGTATTGCTAGCGTACGTATACATACATGCTACTTACTCTCCCCTCCCCAAAAATTACACCCCCACCTACAGATGGACCTGCACAGGAGAAGGGGAAGATACTGACATTTATCCGTTCAACCAGAGCGTAACTTTCTTGTTTGACCATCTTGCCTTCTTTCTTCTCCTCCAGTTTGCTCATAATAGTGTTACACTCTTCATATGGATGACAGAGGAAATAGCTCCAAGGAAGCAGAGGAAGGAAGGAGGTGGAAGGAAAATTGCTGTTCTTTGAATTCCTTTAGTTAAAGAACAACAATGCAAAATGGTTTACCAATTTTTTCAAAATATGTAGGAGACAGCTAAATGCAAGAAGCATTATTGCTTATAGTTAAGATGTAAAAATCAGACTTCCGTTGGGAAAATAGTTTTTGTTTACATACAATATCACAATTTGTTGTAGAGAAAAGACATTTTCCTGTTTGTGCATTTGGTCAGTTTTCCCCTTATATTTGTCCTCAACAAAGGAGGTCCTCCATTTTCACAGAATCACAGAGGGTTGTAGTTGGAAGGGTCTTCTGGAGGTCATCTTCTCCAGCCCCACTGCTGAAGCAGGCTCACCTGGAGCCGGTTGCTCAGGACCGTGTCCAGACATCTTTTGAATATCTCAAGGATGCAGACTCCACTACCTCTCTGGGCAACCTGTTGCTGTGCACAGTCACCGTCACAGTGAAAACGTGTTTCCTTACATTCAGGAGGAACCACTGGATCTTTCCACTGGGCACCACTGGAAAGAGCTTGGCTCTATTCTCTTTACACCCTCCCTTCAGATATTTGTACATGTTGATGACATCCCCCCTGAGCCTTCTCTTCTCCAGGCTGCACAGTCCCAACTCTTATCCTTTCCTCATATGCAAGATGTTCCAGTCCCTTCATGATCTTACTGGCCCTTCTCTGGACTCTATCTCCAGTAGCTTCATGTCTCTCTCTTACTGGGGAGCCCAGAATGGGACTCAGCACTCCAGAGGTGGCCTCACGAGTGCTGAGGAGAAAGGGAAAGATCACCTTCCTTGACCTGGTGGCAGCACTCCTGCTGACGCAGCCCAGGATACCACTGACTGCCTTTGCCACAAGGTCACGTTGCTGGCTCATAGTCAACTTGCTGTCCACCAGGACCCCCAGGTCATTTCCTCAAAACTGCTTTCCAGCCAGTCAGCCTCCAGCGTGTACTGTTGCCTGGGGTTGTTCCTCCCTAGGTAGTTCCTAGTTCTTCCCTTTTCTGTACTTTTTGCATACGGAAATACTCTAAAATTATGAAACTATGTAAAGAAAAGGAAAGTTAGTTTGGTTGATTACTGGGTCCTATAATATTAACATTTTAGTATCGCATTTAAATCTATAATTATTCTAATGTATATTTTCTTATTTGAAAATCACTAAATGCAAGTAATGAATGGCTAGTTATTAGAAAGTATTGTTAAAATTTTATTGCTACTTTTTCTTGCATTTGAGATTATCACCAGCATTTTTTCTTAATTATGACCACTAGATGACACTCTTCACCAACGTCTGTTTAGAAAGTTGAGTATTGTATTGTATCATAGAATTGGGAGGTGACCTATCTGGTTACTGCCTTCAGTGAGGCAAGGTTAAGTATGCTTACACTTTCCGTGATGGAGAATGTTTGTGTAGCCTATCCCTAGTATCCCAAACAAATTATTGCAGTTTCATTACTTAATGTGTTCCTGTGTTGTTTCAGTTCCCAAGCAGCTAGAAATTGTTTTTCTAATATCCAGTGTAAAGTATTGCTGTTGACAGTTAGATCTTGTTTTCTTATTCTTTAAGGCCTCTCTGCAAAAGACAGCTGACTGCTGTGCTCTCCCCAAAAATGTTTTTCAAATCAGAAATACAGGATGTTGCAGGTAGAAGAATAGCCCTTTAGAATCATAGAATCATTAAGGTTGGAAAAGACCTCTAAGATCATCAAGTCCAACCGTCAACCCAACAACACCATGCCCACTAAACCATGTCCCTAAGCACCTCATCTACACTCTTTTAAATACTTCCAGGGATGGTGACTCAACCACTTCCCTGGGCAGCCTCTTCCAATGTTTAACCACTCTTTCAGTAAAGAAATTTTTCCTCGTGTCCTCCAACTTGAGGCCATTTCCTCTCGTCCTTTCGCCAGTTACTTGGGAGAAGAGACCGACACCCACCTCGCTACAGCCTCCTTTCAGGTAGTTGTAGAGAGCGATGAGGTCTCCCCTCAGCCTCCTTTTCTCCAGGCTAAACAACCACAGTTTCCTCAGCCGCTCCTCATAAGACTTGTTCTCCAGACCCCTCACCAGCCTCGTTGCCCTTCTCTGGACACGAGAGTAGTAGCCAAACTTACTTAGCTGAGGTAAGGAGAAGGCCAAGATGCCCAAAGGCTTATTCATAGTCATTTGCCTACAAACTCCTCCCCCTTCCATACATTAATTGGGCTAATAAAGGATGTTTACCTGTAAACCATGCAGTAACAGCATTACTCTTACAACTTGCAAAACCATAATGCTTTACAAAAAGTCTCTTCTTGACTAAATAACTCGCAAAAAAAAATCTGAAGGGCCTGGATTTATGTTTTCTAAACCTCTTACTATTTTTCTCATCTCCTCTGGGTTGCCTTTTGCCTAAATTATTTTTAAAGTGTCCTGTCCCAAACTGCATATAGTATCTTAGGTGAGACTTCATTTGAGCCAAATAGCATAGATTAATTCCTTTTAATGTCACATGCATACAACGCTTCCGTCTTTTTAAAAAGAAAAAAAAAATTCTGTTACAGGTTTTATGTCCTCTTGCAATGCCATCAGAGTCTTTTTAGTTTGTGATACAATGTTAATACCCATAAACTTTTCTGCTGTGTTGTTGCCTGGCAAGCTAGACCTGATTTTAATATGTGATTTTTCTTTCCTCATCTTAATATGATGCGCCTTTCAGTTTCATGTCCTAATTTCAGGCTGTTGCCTATGTAATTTATTGCTTTGTGGGATACTTTTTTACTATGTATTTGTTAGTTCCAGTCCCATTGTTCCTTTTTAGATTACAGGATTGAGAGTAACTGATTTAAGAGACTACAATATTTACTGCTTATGCAACACATTACTAAGTAACTAATAAATTAAGAAATCTAATTAACTACCCGCACTACTATTACTAATTTGTAACAATAGTATTTTTCACATTACACAGTAATCTATAAAGCTCTTCATCATCGCTCTTAAATCTGATGATGAAGCATCTGATGATGCTTCTATACAGCACAAGGCAGTATTGCTTTCTACCTCCAGTTGCTACCTTCACACTACTCC